TATCCGGTTTTGCGACTGCTTAGGCATCGATAACCGCTTATCGAACATTTAGTCCCTTTTTTTCAGCTCAGACGAAGGTCGCAGTATTTTTTTTTAATATTTCCCCATAATCGCTATGCATTATGATTGAAAAAACAGTATAGTGTAGCCATAAACAAAGTGGTGGGACACAAGTGCGACCACACGTAGCGGCCCCCCGGGACAGCGCACGTGCACTCCGCCCTCACCGCACCTTTGTACCTCTTGATTTACCTCACACGCACTGCACCACCGACGAGGAGGGACTGAAACGAATACTGAGATCTGTGATCTGATAGACCGCATTAACATTGTAGCAGTCATTAATCTAGACTAACATTATAAAGTTAAAAAGTTTATTTGTTTGGTTCAACTAATCTCAGGAACTGCTTATTCGAATTGGAAAATTATTTTACTTGGATAGTCTATTCATCAAGGAACGCTGCAGGCTATATAAATTCACGTTACGACCAATAGGGTTCGAGCATCAATGAAAACATTTACAAAAACGACAAAAAAAATCCTTTTCATAAGCAAACAAAGTTAGATCAGAATCAGAATGCTTTATTTGTAAACATACATAGGTAGGTAGGGTTAGAATAATATATGAGGTGTTACAGCTTGACGTAGGTGCGCTATGTTTTTTACGTCGGGTTAGCTAGTTTAGATATAAAAACATACGTCCTAGATGAAGATTACCACTGCCTATACACCTATAGCCTATACCTAAACACTAGCAACACAAATAGTCCGTCTCTTGGTTAATTAGTGGTAGCATGATGGCCGTGCGATCAATAACCTATCCGCTTTAAATTTAAAAGATGCATTCTATACCATTTTATTAGAATTAATGGAGAAACTAACATCAAGTTGAGATGATTTTTTTTTTCAAAATCGATAAAATACTAGTGACTTCAGTATAAATTGACATCTTTAGATATCGATAGATAACACGCTCCGACAGCTACCTTAATTTATGACCACATGTTATGTTATTTCTTCTGAGAATTAGCTAATGTAAAAAAGGCAGTAAACATTTAATAAATCCCAGAACGTAACGATTACATACGAACATACACCTTGTGTACTTCGCAATCTACTCACATACCTACCTATTATAACACTTTTAATTTTTTCCTTAAGATGAGTTCATAAAATGTTAATTAAATTCTTGTTTAACTAACAAAATGTCTGGCGGAAAACTTACAAATACAAAAGCTTACACTATTAAAGAGCCTTTCAACCAGGGTCTTCTAAGAAATCTCCAATTCAGTGCCTTCGGGATAAATGAAACATTTCTATCTTAGGAAGCACTTCACGCCTCAAAAAGTAACATCTTACAAATAGAATAAACATTCTAAATGACATTGATTCAGAGCGACACAATGAAACAACACCGGACATCAATCTGCAATCCTAAATCGTGTTACATAAAAACTGGGGACAATACTCCTCCTTCAATGCAGGCAGCGCCACACGTGCAAGACACGTGGAACTTAAGGTGCTATTGTCTTAACACGACATTTACTATTCATATAAAATAAACAATACGTTCCAAATTCTTTCCTATAGAAGTTTCATTATGGTTGGAAATCCGTTGTCAAACGTGTCTGAGGTAAAATTATGATGGTAGTGTAAATTTACCAGCACTCAATAGTCTTTGTTTGTAATTGTGACAGCGTTTCGCAATGGGCCCATAAATTATGCACTAGGTACGACCATTGTTTGTAGATCGTCATAAAGGTTTAACGATAGCACATGTGTTCGGCTTGTATTGTCGAGGTGATGGCTAAAAAGCTCCACCTCTACAAGCTGTTTACAAGGAGTTTAAGTGTTTAACAAGTAACAAAGCTGGCGAAATGCGCGTGAGACGCATATACTTCAGGAGGTTCAGTTTATCGTGGCAATATTTAGAGAAATAGTTGTTTTAATAGTTGCGTCTAAATTGAATATTCACCGGTGTGTTTTAAAAGTACCGATTTAACATCTCCAACATTAAGATGAGCGTTCGAATTCTCGACGGATCAGAATCTTAAGGTACGTATATTTTGCTCTAGCCCGACGTAAGAACTATGTATGTGTCGAGATAAATAAGCAACGACGCTTAGAATGTGCCTGATAAAAATCTATAAACCCAAGGTAATTTTTATTTGTTTAAATATATCGAGGTTTTCTAATGGCTTCTAATATTCTTAGCAGATTTATTGAATTTCATTATGGCGACGTTTCATCAGATCAGACACGTGTTCGCGCAACCAGAGGAGACAACTAACCATATCATATGGTTGCAATAGTTTGTCAGGATGTCCATAACAACGAGAACGAACGGATTTGAACATGCTCTTTGGACATACCAAACTGTGTCTAAGACGGCCTGTGGCCAAAACACTTAACATTATTATCAATTTATTATTTTCAATGTTTTAACCTAAAAAGCTATATTTTACCTTTGTGAGTTCACTCATAGAACACACATATACGGAAAAACTAATTAGATAACTTACCTTGTTTTACCGTGTATATTTAAGGTGATACGGATACTTATATATCCTGTTAGGCTATCATTAAAACATACTAACACGAGCAATAGGGCCCTGTCCTGTTATATTGTAAAATAATTTACTAAATAGATTATACATTACTACATTAGAAAATATATTTATTCATGTATCTTATAAAGGCAGTCGACTATATGTAATATTATGTGTCATTTCTGAGCAATGGTACTGGCTGGTTAACATCGATAACGATAGAAGAAGATACCATTCTTTTATAATGTTATACCTACAGGAAATACAGGAAAAGTACTTAATAAAGACGAAACTTAGTGTAGGTAATTTAAATCGGTTCGGTCATTATAGAATGTTCGGGCATAATTGAATGTTGGTAAGTTTATCATCCCCCCGACAATCCAATTCAAATATAATACAACACAGGAAATGAAATGATTTGACATTGAAGGTTATAGAAAATTCTGGTATAAAGTTTATATAAATAATAACTTATATCAATGATACTAAAAAGAATTTTGAGGTTATAAACATAGAACATCTTGCCTAAGAAATATATTTTTAAAAGCAATTTTCATCGTGTCTTTCTTTTAAAGAGACAACAAGATTTTTACTGGGTTGCTAACATGTGAATAATCTGGATGTTTAAAAATTCTAAATCTTTTTTAGACAAAAAAAAAAAAAAAAAAAATACAGTCGAATTGAGAACCTCCTCCTTTTTTTGAAGTCGGTTAAAAACTAGGCTTGCTGTTCATTAAAACGGTAACAATTTAAACAACCTCAGAGAAGATATTTACCTGTACAAGGTAAAAAAGTGAGACTTAAATAGTTCTTCTTGTTAATATAAGCTTTATACCAGAATTTTTTATAACCTTCGAAGTCATTTCATTTTGTTTCATGCAATCTTCATAATATTTATTTTAAAAAATGTCTAATAAAGCCAAAAATAGCGCTCAATGAAGGAACAAAAATGGAGGCGATGTTTGAATACGGAAATATTAGTTGGTACATGCAAATTAAATCTATACCTAACCGAGAAGTATGACGTAACGTCTGCCTCCACTGAACCTCATCTGAGTTAGATAACGGTTCGATTCTTCCGCCACATGTTGTGTGAGAAAACAAATCATTAAGAAAACGCCTATTAGTGACAACAACAATACGAACATTTGAGTATCACCCAACACTATCCACAAATCGTTACCTAAATGGAAACACATCATAAAGTAATACTTAACAACAAAGTAGGTACTGAAACTTCCTACATCGATGGCTATCTAGTGATAACATTTCGCAAATTGTACACAGATTATATGTTTAATTCGGGACCATTATCTGTGCGTTTTAGGCAAAGAACATTGTATCTCATAATTATTAAAGCGATATAGTTCCGATTGACATATCTTGTATGGTTATATGTTAAGTAAGATACATTTAGAAACCCCAAGACAACATTACGTTTGACATGATTTTTGTTTGACACACGTAAAATACGGAGACAGATATATCCAAGATTACCACTGCACTACTGTTACACACCATTTGTGTAGGAGGTTTAGGAATAATCATTTTTGATAGAATAATTAAATCATCAATAACTCAAATAAATCAGTGATGAAGTGCAGAAAGCAGCTGCTGAACATTGCCACTCACGTAATGCGAGCCCGTGAGTATATAGAGTACCTACTTATATTAATATCTACTAAAGAGCTATTTGTTTGTGAAGCATTCTACACAACCTGAATCGAGAATACACTTATTGCTACAATTGAAATGCCTGACTCAAAGTTATAAACTCCTTGCCAAGCAGTATTTCTTACTAAGCGCAATGAACGCATCGCGCAACTCATAGTGCCATCTAGTACCCGAAAGCAGAACTAAAAATGCAATAATAAAATAATAAAAACCTTTACGACACATTTTGATGCTTTAGTCTAACTGCTAGCTGACCCATTTAAAATATGTTAAAACAAATTATGATAAGTATGATATATATCATAATTGTATAAAATTGTTTAATAAATTATTAGGTATTTTTAAATTTTATAACAGAAATCTAAGTCCTAATCGAGACACAATTTCAAAACGTATACAACAAACGTATATACCTACACAAGAAGTTATAAATGCAAAGTAGTAACGTCAGTTAGATAGAGACAGGTAGACCACCAGCGGGAAGGTGGAGCGTAGAGCATGTAAATAAACAATTGAAAGGTAGAGCCGTGCCCAATGCGTTTGCGGTTTGTGGCAAGGTGTATAGTGGCACTGTGCTAAGGTGTTTTAATATCAGCGACGTATCGGTATGAGAGACGGTGGTGAGACACGGCTCAGCAGTCGCCGTCGGCAGTCGGCTCTACTAATTAAGTATAGGTGGGGGGAGGTCGCGGCGGGCGGCAGCGCGGGGCGCAGCACCCGGTGCGGGTGGCAGGGGGCAGGGCGGGGCGAGAGGCGGGCCGGGGTGCCGCCGGCTCTTCATTCCGCCGCGCGCCGCGCAACACAGAGCACGTCAGTCCGCTCGCGCGGGCCATGGTCGCGAGAACCGATGAGAGCATGTTCGGGTGCTATGGTGACAGCTACTCGTACCGCCTGTGGAGCCTGGCCAACGTGTGGGGCGCCTGCCGATGTGAGTAGCGCGCCGCCGAAAGCCTCAGCAACACGTGCCCCCCCTACATACGAAACTAGGACTTTTACCGCTGACGTCAGCGGAGGCTGTGAAATCTCGGTGTAGTCCGGCGTAGATGCAATTCGGACGCGACCGCGAAGTGCTTCCCGCGATATTAGGTAGTCTGCCGTGGTCAGTGAGGTGTGAGAACAGAGGTGTCGCTCGATGAAAGTGCAGAGCTCGCTTATGGGAGTTGGCGGTTGGTACGAAACCTTAGCGGCCGGTTGGCTTGCGGACATGAGGAGTAAGCAGGTCCCAACGTCCACCACCTCGGCCAGGCGGCTCGCCGCCCTAAGTAAGCTTCCTTTCTTTTTGTTTTTATTTGCATTTTATATTTACAAATACTTATATATTTATTCGCTTCCAATATACTTTTGTTATCTACTCTATTATTTATGTACCTATTGAACTCTAAGATCACTCAGTCCCTATTTGATTTACATGCCCATTTATATCTCTAAAAGTTTACAAGTTACCTAAAACAAGTGCAAACCAGTACAAAAACTTGAAGAGGAAACTGAAGTTCCCAAACAAATATTTGTCCAATGTTACTGAATGAACGCAGGTGAAAATGATATCACCTCTGAGGTATTAAAAATAAAACTCGAGCACGTCTTCATTAGAAATAACCTCGGTGTTCGGTAATCTCCCCTAGGCTCCCTCGGGACATAATTCATCCACTTGAAAATCGGGAACAGGTACACACAGACTTGAAAGAAAGTTTCGTTTGCCGAGGGGAACCCCGCTCGCTTTCAACATCTTAAATCGTAAATGATTATGTTGTTTTAATTCATTTGCTTTTTTCTGTCTTACTTTTTATTTTATTCTTCCTCTTTGAGTGCCGCCTGTCTGGAGTGGATAAAATAGTAGGGACGTTTGATGCATTCGGACGAGCCACAATGCGTTATATTTTAGATGCGAGCTCGTGGAACGCGGATGAATAAATTAGTAAAAGTTGATTTTATTGCTGTTCTCCGGCGAACAGACGCTTCACTCTGACGTTCGTCTTTTAATCTCATTATAATAAACTGAGCACTACATCCGATATGAGCCGAGATCAAAACGGACCCGCATGCCTATATTACGTCTAGGCAGGTCTAATGTTTAATGAAAAGCTTGGCTCAACCGACCTACGTTTTTGGTATAATTTGATAACCGCAACTGTTGGCCACAACGTGCTTCACATGGCATATATTTACGATAGCTTGTGTGTAAATTAACTTGATATTATTGTACGGTATAAGTATCAATTAGTACTAAGTATTTTATACAATTCTGAGTACCGCTCATTTCTAATCATTAACGTTATCCCACAAATTAACGTTGGTAAATATTTGTTTTTAAGATTGTGTTTGAGGTAATTAGTGTAATATGGGTTAATAAACAAACGGTATAGTTCAGGGAAAACAAAAACTACGAGGAGATAGCTGATAAGACTAGTTCATAAACAAACGATTCCAGAAATCGGTATCTCTCACCTAATAGACACTACCTCGCTAATTATTTGTTTGTTGGGGACTAAATTAAGGAGTCCGCTAACAGCCAAACTTCGTTTATCGCTTGTCAAACATTATTACTGTGAGATACAGCTTACCTCTGGGTGATTCAATGACTCACTGCTCTGAATCACTTCGATATAATTTTTGTTATTTGTCCATTTCATCTTTTCAGCGCCTGAATCAGAGTTTTACTGACAGCTTTTTTCGAATAACACTGAACTTGGGTCAGACACGTGACCAGAGGTAGCCAAGTGGTCAACTAAATAGTTGTATTAAGTATATTAGTAATACGTTTGTTTATTATAATGGTCCCAGTTCCGAGTTAGGTACAAACACTTGAAAGTGACTCATTATACTACACCTACCTGTAAAACCGATCTGTTCTTTATTTAACTAAAGGCCTTGCTTGTCCTGATAGGTACGTCTATTACATTATATACCTAATTACAGGAATCATTTACTAAGGCTTAGTTATAAATAACACATAATATTTTATTTAAAAAAGTATTATGAGCACGCGGATGACCAGAGAACATCCAGTCCATATTTAACATTATTATTAGGTATATATTTATTTTGAGCTTCAATAACAAGAATATGTCGATTAATTATAAAGTAATAACTATTAATACCTGTTAAACTTTAATTTTCAATGTTAATTCTAATCATTACTGCGGTTTCAAAGGAGATTTTACCTGTAACTACTGAAAAATATATAGTGTAATAAAACTTAACCGCACTGTGCGGTATTCGTTTATTTATATACTGTAATGAGCACAGTTATGACTAAGTACGTACATACTTTAATATCAAAGTGACACACTTTCTGAGGTATCTAAACACTAATATTGTTGCATATCTCGTAGCTTTCGCTCATGGTCTCGTTCGCGTTACCTAATGTGGTTGACAAAGTGTAGGCAAAGTTGTGTGATGATGAGATGACAAGGCGTGAACGAGTAGCAAACAAACAAATGGACTTTATATTTAGGTATTATATTAATAAAGACGGATACTTTACAACGGATAATGACATACCTAGCTAGACACGAGATACCTCAACTTAGACGGGGCTAGTTTCTTTCAATTTATTTCAAGTTAATTTATAATAATGATTGGTAAAATTTACTATGCGAATCTGAACCAAGAATTATTTATAATGTTTATTTGTTGCTTTGATAGGTATTTACCTAATTTATCCGTGTGGTGACGGATTAAGAATACGGAGTGTCACCACCCCATTCCGTGGGCGTCGTAAGAGCCGACTAATGGAGCAGATTATGCAGGAAAAGAGCTCTGTAAAGAAAAGAAAAACTTTAAACAAACCCTATGCTTACTAACCCATCTGGCCAGCGTAGTATACCTAGTAGGCCAAGACAAGTCCAGCAGTGGACTATTAAAGGATGATACAGTGATATTGTTTATTTAGTAGGTTGAGTACAACTCTGTCGTTATAGAAATAATTGTCATTTTGTATTCTACCTTGCAGTTGCAAATGATGTTAGTTTGACGTTGACGAAACATAATATCAGATCTGTTTTAATAATTACCAGTATTGTTAATTATAATTAGTAAGTCCTAGACTGGAGATCGCGATCGTTAAACGAAGCGTTGGACGCCCGAAGCCAGATGTACTGACGACTTGAAGAAAGTAGCTGGGATAGATTGGATTCGATAGGAATATTGGGAGTTTATTATGTCCAGCAGTGGACCGCAATAGGTTTATTAATTTCAATATTAATGTATATTTTAGTATAGGCAAGTAGACATAGTCCTCCGATAAAATATAGTATACAACAGAATGATAATGTCGACTGAGCCGTCGAGACATAATAAATCAGAATCAACATTGAGTGTCAGAAAATACGTTGAAGTTAAATAGTAAATAGGCGAGTAGCGATGCCAATAAAAAGTGGAACAGACGCCACGAGCACAATGCGATACAATAACTGAACAAATAGCTAGCGTCTAAACACTTCAGTGTAATTCTCTCAACGCGCAATTACAATTCCGAGCGAGAACTTACAACATGGTGTCTGCAGTCGGACAGGCGGAGTTTTTTCTTCGTGCGAAGCAAACAGCGCGCCCCGCCGCGCACAGGTGCGACCAATCACCACACCGCGTCTGTGTGCCGCGATCAACAATCGGCCTCTTATCTCCCTGACTATACGCGCCACGACTGTGCGTGTGTGAGTGTGTGCGATAATTGTTATTTGTTGTTCAGCGCAATAGGAAGCCTGGTGCGCGTGTGTGCGCTCATGTAGGTTTTTTATCAGCCGGTTAACGGACGCACTCTGCCCGTGCGCACAGATTACTTGCTCGGCGATAGCGTCCACTGTGTAGGTGTACCGTCCGCTCCACCTAATTAACGATACGCACTCATATTTACTATATTAAATGTACTAGTTATATTTTGTTGGACCTCATTAAGGTATTTCTTATCTCGTGTAACAACAAATTAATCTTAATTAATAGGTACACAGTAGGTAAGCCACGTACCTACACTAGGTATGTAATTCTATGTAGGTACCTCAGTAGCCAAGAATTCTATGTTATTCTTTGTAACCAAACGACAACGAACTTGTCACTGCGTACGTCTTAAAAACAAACACACGTTTTCTTTGTGAATATTTATATCGGACATGAATGAAAGACTACGTGAAATGAATGAACGTGACAGGCAGCGCCATCTAGCGACAAGTAGCTGAAACATAGGTGTTATACATCTCAAATTAACTTGCAAGTTTATAAAAATATGAGAATAGATGACCATTACATTTTATTTAAAATATTTTTTCTGGGTGTCTTTCTAGGCTTAATTATCAAAATTCGAATTTTTTAGTTAACTAAAATTGTATTTCCACAAGAAAATTGAATAGGTAACTCTACCTTCCACTGTTTTCTAAATAGCTTTCTATTTGAACATGAACATGAACATTGTCTATTCCTAGTTAAATATATACCAACAATATGGCAACTATTTTTTGACTTCATTTACCGTAAAAAAGAAGAACCACCACTTGAAGAAACACTACCCAATGCGTATTTTATAATCAGCGATCCTACCTAGTCATCTTTCAGACCAAGGGTAGGTAATGTACAAAAAATATGTACAAAATGTTAAAACCATTTTTTTATTTATTTTCGATCATTATATAAGATCTCGTTGTGCCAGCCACGGTTCGGCTCGTGTGCTAACATTAATGTTTCTTTGTGCGGTGTCCTTGATTAATTTTAAACTAAATGTAATACATATATATTACTTTTAAAACATTATATAAAACAAGACAACTAGACAGACAATCATTTTTTAAATTAATATTTTTACCGTGTATTCAGATGCAATTAGTAAAAACTGTTAATGTGATATAACACACACGTCAATATTATTAATTTGTTAAAGTTACGTGAATGAAGTACATGAAAACACTGTTACCTACCTAGGTAACACTCTTTTTAAGAATTCGGGCTAAAACGTAGGTACAAATTTCAAAATTAAGCTCAATTTTAAGAAAAAACTCACTAATCAGGGATTCTCAATAGTAACGGGACTGCAGCTGCATCACATCATATCTCTCAATTGATTTACCCGCATAATACAATTCAAAAGTTAAATGCTTTAAAACTCTTTTATTTACCCGAAGGTACATTTTGAGTATGTGTGTACGCACGTGTATGTACCTACTAATGGTACATATGTACCTAACTAAAAGTAATTAGGTAGGTGCGCTTTTTTGTGTCACGGCTATTTTAAACGCCTCTAACTCTTGTTACTCAATGTGTATGGTTCTATTCACGTAAAGACTTCAATAAAATAGAGAAGTCTACAATCGTGAATTGACTTTGATAATATTATTCATAATTTGATTTAAACGTTTTTATTCCAAATAGTTTTAAATAGCTAATAATATTAATGAAATTAGTTACCATACGAAAACATAGTTAAAATACAAACATAACAGCGGTTATGATATGTTTTTAGGAATAGGAATAATAGAATGAATTTATTGCCTCACTCCTTAATCATAACAACTTTTTTATAGATACGTTGAATTTCTGTTAAAAATAAATTTTTAGGCGAGTTTCTGTGAATGATTGGGTAATTACTTCACCACCATAATACCAGTAGCGCCATCTGTCGCTAAGTAGTTAAACTAATTAATATTTTTTTATACTCGTCACCTTTAATACTATTTGTCACCAGGATTATATGTCGATGTGATATAATCATAGTTTTAATTCATTATGCAAGTTATACTCTGGTAGTTTGATTAGGTAATACAATAAAATAGCAACAATGTTAACTCGACAAATTAATTTATTCTCTAAAACCGGTCGACCAGATAAAATCAGACTACCAACTAAATCACCTACGATTTACGAGTAAGATATAACTACCTGTGTATAAATATGCGCTATAGTCGTATTTTCTAAAATTCAATACCGGTGTGCCGATATCACACACAGTGTGCGATATGACACAACACACGGTCTAAAGTACCCGCACACACGACACACGGACGGCGTGGCCACACTAATTAATACGTCCCATCGTTGTTTTGCTCTTTATTATATTTGATTTACGACGCGCCCGCACCCGCCCCGCCGCGCGCCGGCTTTTAAAAACGATATTACGCTGGAATACGCCCGTATTACCGAAATAACCAACTCCAAATTGAATTGTTGCTGCCATATTTGTTTTTATAAAGCGAGCAAAGCCGTAAAGGTGTCCGCGATCATTTTAATCGCCAACAATACGGATAATTGTTTTATTTCCAATTGGGGTTTACGATGCTCGTATCGCCGGAAGTCGGGGTTTTTTATGACGCAAACTCTAACGTACCAACGTTAATTTGATAGGTGTATTTTATAGAATTGGGAATAAATTCGTCGCATCTCGCCGCACTACACCTAGATTGTCCTGAACTTCTTTTCCAGAGTCCATCGGTTCGATGATGCGTGAGCTATTTAAACACTTCCTTTGAAGTCATAAAAGATATGCAGATTTTTTTTAATAATTAATAATTTGTGAAACTTTGTCAATCCTCTAATAATTGCACCAGACAGACAATATCAGACAGACCTTTTTGATTAACTGTACCTGTATAAAGCCAACATCATTATGATAAAATGAAATACAAATGAGCTTTTAAAAAGGTTATTACCCTATAACTCCTATTGTGCTATCTTTAGGAAAGAAGTAGGCATAAGGTTAACTAACTCAAACTAAATATTGGTTAATTTTCTCCACAGTCCGTCCGCTGGCGAGCGGCGGGTCGGAGGGCAAGCCTTCCGAGGAAGAAGAAGAGCGAGGAGGGTCACCCCTCGGCCCTGGCGGTCCCTATGGCTGCAGTCAGTGTCGGGGTGCCTACCCTACGCGCGAGCAGCTCGAGCGCCACGAGACTCTGCACGCGCCCAACACACAGGTGGATACCGTCAAATATGTCAGTGCCCATTGTATTACATAACAGCGTATTATACTTTACTAGACTTAAAACAAGTAATTACTCGGTGCAAGTACCCTAAGCTAACTATAATTGCCATTAGTCACAATGTAAACGAAAATGACAAGGCACTTAGATTAATTTTGCAAAGAATTTATGTGGAACTAACACTATACTTTTTTGGTTAACAGTCTTGCAAGATCTGCCACAAGAGCTTCGCGAACGTGTACCGCCTCCAGCGGCACATGATCAGCCACGACGAGAGCGCATTGCTTCGCAAGTTCAAATGCAACGATTGCGATAAAGCATTCAAATTTAAGCATCATCTAAAGGAGCACTTACGAATACATAGCGGCGAGAAACCCTTCGAATGTGCCAATTGTGGCAAAAAGTTTTCCCACTCCGGTTCCTATTCGAGCCACATGACCTCCAAGAAATGTCTCGTCATGAACCTCAAAATGGGAAGGATCAAAGCTAATAATCCAGCTCTTAACCCAGAAAAAAGTCCATCACGCAGACGGAACAATGCCATGGTTGCATCACAGTTGAACAACAACATTGCAACGAATGGCAATTCTTTCCTTCCTATTCTCCCGAAGTACACAGATGCTGCTGCCTTTTTTGCATCCATGTCATCACCAGATAATAATTTCCATCGTCCGCCTTTGGGACAGCCTGGTCTTAATCCCTTTTATATGCCACCTGGTATGCCGATAAGTCCAGCCAGTGCTATAGCTCCTTACAGTATACCGGCCTCCCTCAGCCAATTCTTTGAGACATTAGCTTCAACACAATATCAACCGAGAAAAATTGAGAATCCTGCAAGTCCTAAACAAGCTCCCGCAGATCCTGAAGATTTGATAGAGGAAGTTACGGAGGAAGATGATAAGCGGTCAGAAGGAAGTGCTGAGCTTGTGATGGACATAGAAGACGATGAACCTGTATCCATAAAAAAAGAGCGTGAAGAAATAGATAATGATTTAAGATCGCCGCCGCAACATTATGATTCCGTCCCCTCAAATAACAACGGTCTTGACTCACAGAATCAATCAGCATACAATTCTATATTAGAATCTGTAAGCGCTTCCGTAACCAAACATTTCTTCAGAGCCAACATGGAAAAACTTTCGCCGGTTTCGGGTAACATTAGCCCTAGCATAGAGTCACCGCCCACATCTCATGTTATTGTAAAGGAAGAGCCGGATGACACTCACAGGTGTCTCAAATGTGACACATCCTTCAGCAATAAAAGCGATTTATTAGATCATGAAAAAGAGATCTGTGGAAATTTATTTAGAAAACACGAGGGACTGGCAGCTCAAGTGGCAGAAACGGTAGCTCTTAATAGGTTAGAAGCCGAAATGCGTGCTTCCATACAGAGTGGTGTAAGTGCTAGCGAAGATGAAGAGTACCAAAAGGAAGAACGCGACGATAAGATATCGATTCACGACAATGATAGAAAAATTCGTGTACGAACAAATCTGTCTGAAGAACAGCAACTGGTGTTAAAAGAACATTACGCATTAAACTCGCGACCTAATCGTGAAGAGTTTAAAAGAATAGCTCAACAGATTGGCCTTGACAATAGAGTGGTACAGGTATGGTTCCAAAATAACAGAGCCAGAGAACGACGCATGACCGCATCCGATCAGCCGCTGGATTTATCGACAAAAAAATCTAACCCATCAGTGACGTCAAGCCCATCGCCGTCGCCACCATGTAGCCTTTCTGTGACACATTCGGACTCCGAAGAGGCAGTCAATTTGAGTCAGAAATCTTCGCGAAGCACGACACCGCATCGCACTAATTATCTGAATACTTATCCACATTCCAATTGTTCTTCATCATCTTTTACCGATTTTCGATTGTCCCCCTCACCTGGGGAACCCATTAACGGACAGAAACGATTACTACCCCAGAAGTTACACGTAAATCCTTCAGTCCCAATGGACAAACTCCTTCAATACAACGATATGGCGAATGGAAGGTCGCCTATACTTAACATGCATCTTTCTTCAGATATGAGTCGACCAGGCTTAAGTCCATCATATGAACGCACCCCGTGGAGCGATGACATGCACGTGTCTCACGACATTGAAGATGACGCATCTGTACTTAAAAAAAGTAAACTAAAGCATGGAGTCGAGTTCAAAGAAGGCGAGGGACAGTTTGTATGCGACCAATGCGACAAAACATTCGTGAAACAAAGCTCCCTCGCCAGGCACAAATACGAACACTCAGGTTAGTAATGAAGATACTTTGTGATCACGTATTAGATATTTTATGTTTCCTCTAAAATATATTAAACAATGGCCATTTGTTTTTCAGGTCAACGCCCTTACAAATGCGGCGAGTGTCCAAAAGCATTCAAACACAAACATCATTTGACGGAACACAAGCGTCTGCACACCGGAGAAAAACCCTTCCAGTGTTGCAAGTGCTTCAAGAAGTTCTCCCACTCCGGCTCCTACAGTCAGCACATGAACCACAGGTTCGCTATCTGCAAGCCGTACCGGGACTAGGCGAGAGTTGCTTTACCTTTCCTCGGTTCTTGAAGTAACATCTATTTTACTTCTATGTACGAAAGAAAATGTGCACTCGTTAAATTTCTAAAGAGCACTAAAATCAAGTTGATTACTTAGAATTTTATTAAGAGTGTTGTATAGTAGAGCTACGAAATTATATATTCTTTCGACAACCGATACGCTTTGCCCAATTTCAAGACTATCACGGTAAATTACTTACCTCATCAATTGTTGAACACGCATCACACCGCTTAATAATACTCATTATTACATATAATAAAGTATTCATTGCCCGGTATTTTCGTTTCGAACTTAATTAAGGTCATTGCTCAACGCCATATTTTTATAATACCTATAGAACGTAGTTCGGATGTCCTATTTATAATATTTATGTAGTGCCAAATACACGAAAAGAGTGCCATATGATATGCCAAAATTATTGTCTTTTTAACATTTTAACGTTTAATATTGTATAGCTTTTATTATTTTATAAATACCAAAGGTCAGTACCTGTAGCATAATACTCCACTATGATAGATATTATTTTATTTTTTTACAATGTTACGGCCAAAGTTAAACGAAATGTCACCGTGCTTTTAAGATTAAGTTATGTGTCGTAAATGTGCAACTACTAAGATGATTGTTTACGCAAGGCTTATTAATAGTAAACAAATAGAGCTACGGGATAAACGCGGTTTTAAACTATTTACACAGTATTTTTGGATCTTTGAATTTCTCGCTGTACCGGCACAAAAAGCCTCCCGTAAATAACGATAATCAAGCTAAGTTTGACGCATGCGTTCACCAGACGCGCGTCTATTGTGATGACAATATACTAGTGTTATTTATAAATTATTGTACTAAATAGGTACTGTTCTACCGTAGCCGCCACTCATGGTTCGCAACAATATACGTATATCATGTACCTCGCGATGTTATCATTTATAGTTCAAGGACACAAAAAGCTCTTTCTTTGAAACTACCTACTTCTTTTGGACCAATAATCATTATTTACAAAACCAAAGATATGTTGCATAGTCCACTTTTTGACGGAAGCGTATAGACACTCATTAAGATTTACAAGTACATTGATACTACCAACAATAATTTAAATACTAAAAAATATAAAAAAAGACCCTTCTTCATTCAAGATTCTTACACCGCAGTACAGCTGTTTATACTAATTTGCTTGGTTATATTGTTCCGTTGTTATGGGTGGACATAAAACATCGTATTTTCAGGTTCCAATGAATTGAAAATTTTAATATTCCGTTATAAAAACATATAAAATTTAGTATAACAATAAGTTTTTCGTATTGTAGCTGTAAGTGTTAGATAGATTCAATCTTAATTAAGATTAAAGCATTCCGTAATACTCCTATGGGATCTCTGCTGTGTTTAAAAAACTCTTTAAATTAGTGGAAAGATTGTCGTCTATTAACTTGTAAATAATATAATGTAAATAATAGGGATTTATATGTAAATATGATCGCTTTACTACTCAGTACTAGTACATAAGAGATATCGGTCAGTCTAACACAATGAACACGTGACAATAATAAACATCTGTTTATTAAATGCAATAGGAATAATACATTTAATTATATTATATTAATAGTTAAACTTATCTTATATAACTTTAACTTCGTAACAAAAGAACAAACATTAAATTATCCGTTTCACATCACTGTTCTTTCACAGTTTAGGTACCTACTTAGTATAGTGCCTAACCTTCATAAAACCTTCGTAAAACATTACTTATAGTTAAATATTGGGCTTCGAATTATACATTTAAGTTAAGTTCATTTGTCAATGTACTTAATACACATGCATAATTTTATAATTTATTAATTTCAAAACTAAAATACCTTCTTATTTCATCTTCATCACAAAAGTATGATAGAACAGAAAGTTCCTATGCAAAAAAAGTAAGTACATTTTAAGAAATACATATTGATTATTTCTATATTTTATAAGTGTAAGTAAATAACACTAATTTTAAAAGGTTTCTAAGCAACGAATTACGTAAATGATACATACAGTATACATTATTTTCATGTAGTGTGCATCGTAAGGCGATCCCTCCCTCCATACGAGCAGTATTCAGCACACAGATTATATCCACCACTAGCGTAGGTCCACCATTCAAAGCCCCATCAATAAACAGTATTCATAATTCTTTCAAAATTATACTAACACATAAAATATATCAGATACTTAACTGAGTATGTTATGTACTTTTAAATAATTGTAATTTTATTAGATAAGCGATCCTGTTTCACCAATTTCATATTTTATTATAATTTGTATGTAAGCAACCCAAAATTGTCCGCGTTTCGCGGTTGGCTAGATAAACCAAAGATAAGTTACGTTAATAACACGATGTGGAACTCTGTAAAATATAAATATCCCATCGTTTAGCTTTAGATTAGTTTTACTTGTGCCAAATAATTTTAAGGCTTCGGATATACATTTTATAAGGAAATTTTATTTTTTACATTTAATGGCAAAATGTACTACGTAACGCTATAGGTTCAGTTCCTTGTGCAGTGATCATTGCGCGAGAGTATTTCTTCCTTTGTTATTAAGTAGATATAATAATAAGATAATGTCAGGTGTAATAGTTAGCCATTGTGAATTCCTATTGCCATATTTGTCTTTGTTGTATTTTGTATGGAGGTGTGTCAAGGAGAGTGAGGCGACTGGCTGGAGAATTAATTGTTATTATAAGTAAACTTTAGATTGTTAAACTTACCTATAGATTAACATGTGTTAAAATATTGCCTATATAAATTATAGTAATTCATTTTACTTGATATTATAATGTATATTGAATTTATGAACATTACAAATATATATATTGACAATTCAATGCAAAAATATTTGTTCGTATTATTTTATTTCTCCTCAAAACTTATGTTAGCCTGAGTTGGCACAACGACACCTAAATTAGGTTTAGGGAGGATTATAAGCAACCAGAATTAAAGTGATGGCAACGCAAGATACTCTAATGATGCGACTCGGTAAGTTACACCGATTTCAGCAAAGCCTTCTAGCGGCGTAAGTGAACCCTTGCTTGAGTGGATAACATCATACTTGTGATGTAGAGTATTCTTTGTAGTAGTTAATGGTTTTAAATCTAATTTAGAGCCTATTTCATCTGGTGTGCCACAGGGCACCCAATTAGGGCCAATCTTGTTTATTTTTTTCCTAAAGACTTCGCCAACTGTTTCTGTACTCCGACGTTTTTTTTATTTGAAGATGATTTTAACTTTTCAAAACTTATTAAATCTCAGGAAAATGCTAGGAAAACTTCAAAGTGATCTCAATTGACTAGTAGAATGGTGTGAATAATAATAATAAAACGTATTGAAATATTAATTAATGTAAGCACATTAAGTTTACTAAGAACTACAACACCATAAAGTACCATATACATAATATCATTATTAATAAATTGAATACCATTGGAGAAATAGCTGTGATATTTGATAGGCAACTAATTTTTACACTTCATCTGGATCTTCGTTTGTCTTAAGGACTAATTAAAAATGTCCGTGTGGTGACGGATTAAGAATACAGAGTGTCACCACCCCTATTCATCCCGTAGGTATCGTAAGAGCCGACTAAGGGAGAAAACTACGCAGAACAACAGCACTGCAGAGAGAAGGAAAACTTGACACAAACCCTTTTTTTTTTTTTTTTTTAACGTGTGGAAATCCCCTCGGACCGTCACCCCTCCGGGGTTTGCGGCGGGGTGGTGTGTCGGACTCGGACCGACTAAAACCACACGGTGTGCCACTCTGCGCCTGTAACAGGAGGGATCCGGGAACAGCTGTTGTTAAGACATCCGGACACCTCCTAGCGCCAGCCCGCTCCTGGTGCGGGCTCCGTCTCGATGTTGTTCCTCTCTTTAGGCGACGTCCGGCACACGCGGACGCCGCCACCTCGCGGCTGGCCAAACTAATGCGGGTGGAGGGGAAACCCACCCCGTCCACCCGCGGCCACACTCAGGGCATGAGGCTGTGGTAGGCGGGCCTCCGCCGCCCGGTTCGCCGGCGGCGGATCGGGTCCGAGTGGAGGTCGTCCTCCCGGGCCCTCTCCGCCGCCTCCTACCGCGAGATTACTACCTCGCAGAAGGTTGCGACCGCGGTAAAACAACTGTCGCTACCGGCCATGGAGCGTACTACGGCCGGTAGCGAGAGATCCACTCCGATGACTGCAGTGAGGGCCCGGCGCTGCGCCGCCCATGCGGGGCAGACCGCCAGCGTGTGCTGGGCCGAGTCCTCACTGCAGTCGCAGTGGTGGCAGGCGGGACTCAGTTCCCTCCTAGCGACCGTGTGCAGGTACTTTCCGAAGCAACCGTGCCCGGAAAGCACCTGCGTCAGCCGGAAGGAAAGGGTCCCGTGCTGCCGCCCTGCCCACTCGGCGATGACCGGCTGGAGAGCCTCCACGGCGGCGAAGCCAGCGCGTGGAGTCTCCATCCGGAACGACCAACGAGCCATCGTGGCTCGGCGAGCGGCTTCGCGCCACTCGCGCACATCCTCGGGCGGAGGGCGAAATCCGCTCTCCGCCCGGAAGTCAGCCTCCAGAAAAAGCGACCAGCCCCCACGTCAACCTCCTCGGTCGGAGCCTGCGGAGACAGCCACGAGTGAATTATGGCTGCCTCCTCTAGTAGGTCCCGGTTCAGTCTGGCAACAGCCCACCGCGGAAAGCGGGATAAACGCCGCGCCACGTGACCCCTACTGGAGTCCTGGGTCCGGGAGAGCTCAAATCGGATATACAGGTGATCCGAGAGCGTCTCAACCTCTTCCAGGACACGCCAGTTCCTTACTCGTGCGGCGAGAGCAGGGGTAGCGAACGAGAGGTCCACTATCGACCCCCCCTGCTGTCGCACGCACGTGTTGGTGGAGCCTCTGTTTAGAAGACAGAGGCCCACCGAGGCCGCCCACTCCTCTACGGCCTCGCCCCTGGCGTCCGTCCTGGGGGAACCCCAC